ATCAGTCTCAGGGGACTCTTCTGACTGGTGCCGGATTGAGGGACCTCCCAGACCGAAAGTTTTGGGGGTCTCCTGTGGCCAGTATAAATAGAAGGGCCTCTCAGTCCATCAGTATCATGGCCTCTTCTGCCTGGTGTGATTATAAGGGCCTCTCAGGTCATCAGTCTCAGGGGACTCTTCTGACTGGTGCCGGATTGAGGGACCTCCCAGACCGAAAGTTTTGGGGGTCTCCTGTGGCCAGTATAAATAGAAGGGCCTCTCAGTCCATCAGTATCATGGGCCTCTTCTGCCTGGTGTGATTATAAGGGCCTCTCAGGTCATCAGTCTCAGGGGCCTCCTCTGACTACTGTGTAGATGGATAGGCCTCCCAGACCATCATTCTCAGGGGCCTCTTATGACTATTGAGAATAGAGGGGCCTCCTCTGACTAGTGAGGGTAGGGGTCCTCGGCTAGACCGCCAGTGTCAGGGGCCTAAATTTATTCTGACTAGTGTGGATGGAGGGGCCTCCCAGACCACCAGTCTCAGACCTCTGACAAGTGTGGATAGAGGGGCCTCCCAGACCGCCAGTGTCAGGGGCCTCCCCAGACCAGTGTGGAAATTGGGGCCTCCTCAGATCCACTAGGGCCTCTCAGGCCATCAGTCTCAGGGACTTCGACTGACAAGTATGAACAGAGGGCCTCCTTGGATCCATCACGCCCCCTTGGAGTCCGTGCGTGGGGATTCGTGGAACTTATTTTTACCGAGATTCTGGAAGGTGACGACGTCCTCTCAAATCGAGACGAGGGGCCTCGAGTAAAAAGTGGGTGGGCCAAAACACATGGTTGGCCCCCCCACCTCGAAAAGTGGGTGGGCACTTGCCCACCTGGCCCCCCCTGTTCCTACGCCTATGAACAGGGGTACAGGACATATATCGTGTGGTTTGTCACGTGTGCTAACAGGATCACATTTCATTGCAGGGTGAATCAGTAGCCTCGATCTTCTGGACCCGATGATGATCTCGTTCACCGAATATAAATAATGTGTAAAAGGACGAAACAAGCATCACGTCTACGAGTGACGATGCTTTTGATTCGGATCGTATTTCCGAAACCCGTTCCACCCACACCACGCTGACCCCGACCGGCACGTTCCTGTGCATTTCAACTCACCTCCGACAGCTCGGGGTTGTTGCTCATCAGATCAAACACGCTGGCAGCGCGGGCTCGGGCCAGACCGGCCAGCAGTAGGCACACACACCACCACCTCATGGCTACACTCGGTCGGCGCCGCTCCGCACTCGTCACTACCCGTCACCTCCTCTCGCTCCCGACTCATTCACAATACTCGGCCGATTCGCCGGCCGGCGCGCAGCGCGACGGGCTAGTTCGCCAGACGGCCGGCAGGCGGCAGCACCAGCCGCCGCCCCGAGCCCGCTCGATGCAATGGTCCGCTCCGCTGAATGGGTGTGACGTTGAGCCGCTTTAGCGCGCGTTATTAGATCTCGACGCGTCGATGGAGGAGTGGAGAGGCTACGAGAGACTAGAGTAAGCTCGGATAAGAGGGAGTAACGTGTTAATTGGCTCGTATTACTGGTCGACACTTCGTGCGGCGTGCCTTCTGTCCAGGGATCGACGTCCACTATTCCCCGCCAGACCTATCGGTTTTCTACATACGGCTGAGGGGGTACACGGCCCCCGCCGTTTTCCCCTTAACCGAGCTCTAAAGCTTCGCCAGAAGCAACGAGCGTATGGGAGCCGTCACCGCTGAGAGCCGTCGCTTACCCCAATATGCATTGGTATCTCAGATTTTCACAGCTGTGAAAAAGGAAAGCCTAGGTAAAAAATTTACCAGAGGCTCGTAACAATGACCCTTGAGTAAGAAAACTTCACAATTTTATGACTTTGCGTGACTGACCCTGAGTTGGACCCCGAGTTCCACGCTACGAGAATTGACCTTTCCATGAGTGTTGACGGAATTTTGATAGTCGTCAGCTACTATCTGATCTCTGCAACAGGAGCCACGCGCCAAGTACGGCAGGGCGAAACACAACTCCGCCAAACGATCCCCTCCAATAGTTCCCGGCTCCCGCATCTGCCTGGTCCTTCTAGCACCGAGCGGAGTTGTTGGCCCGACGCGAGCGCCACACGTACCCCTTCACGAAGTGGCAAAGCTTTAGTACATTCATTCCCTAACAGGTGGCAGCACCATCAATCTGCCTGAGGCGGTGCAAGTGTCTGGGTGAGAGTCGCCCCGGCCCGAGTCGCCGGCCGACTGGGACGGTTCGCGACTCGGGACTGCAGCGGCGGGCTGGGCCGGGTGCGGCAGTGTTTCGGCAGGGGTGTGAGGTGCAGCGGCGGCCCCGCGAGCGGCCACGTGGGTCAGAGTCGGCAGCTGTGTTGTCCGTGCGGGGCGTGTCACGTGGGGAGACGGGCAGGCGGAGGGGTGTTACGTCGCTCAAGGTCACGGCGCCCGGAGGATGAAGCGGCACTGGTAGTCGGCGCAGTCGAGGCGCAGTCAAGTGGTAAGAATGAGGATAATTGGTCCTTTGGTGTGTAGAACGAGGCTATAGAACCTAGACGGGCGAGGCTGGTTGGCGGCGGTTACCTATTTTCTCCAGTGACTGCTGAAAAATGTTTGTTGCAACTTGCATTGCACGCAACAAACATTTCACGAATCACGATATAGCTGAACGGCTTCAAATTATGATTACAAATAATAATCACATCTAAGAAATGCGGCCACCCGCGTATCAGGGCTGGTAACATTTAAAGGTTATAAAAAACATGTCTATAACACCGCCCGTCCGTGGGAATTTGACGACATATTTGGCTGTATTGAATTGCACAACACCCAATCCAGTTTACACCGGTAAGGAGCGGACACAGTGCACGTGCTCTGTCACTGATAACCGGACGCCCTTTTTCCGACAGGCGGCCGACCTTCGCCCCGGCTGGAGTATGGTCCTCGGACCGACTGTCGTGACACGGTGACGGTCCACAGAGCACCGCCACCGACACATCCGGCCCCATGTCAGCTGACTCCGGCAGCCGCGGCGGGGGCGGGGGCGGGGGCGGCCGGCTGCTGACGCCGCGCCGCCTCCTGGCGCTGCTGGCCGCCTCCACCGCTCTCTCCATCCTCCTCTACCTGCGCTGGACGTCCTCCGGCGCGTTCTTCGGGGCCAGCCCGCGGCCAGTACTCATCACCCAGCCGCCCACCCCCACCGCGCAGCCCGACACACTGGAGGGACTCCTGCAGCGGGACTTCTACAGCAGAGAGTGGGAGACGTGCGACAGTCCCGAGCAACTCCCCGTATTCATCAACAACGAGCACTGGCAGCATCCGTTTAACACGTCTCTGTACGCGCTGGCCGCCTACCCGGACCGGCGTCTGCGGGCCAAGCGGCGCGTCTTCGCCTACGTGCGGGTGATAGCGATGAGGGACGGCTACAGGCACAGCGCTGGCCGCCAGGTGCACTGTCAGCTGCGCTATGAAAACGGCACGGAGAGCGTGCCGGCGCTGGAGCAGCTCATCTGGCAGAGCCGCTGGGACCCGCAGAACACGGGCAAGCTGTTTGACCCGGTGTTGGTGTCGTGTCCGCTGCGCGGCGGACTGATGCCGCTGTCTGTGGCGCTGACGCCGACACCGTGTGCCACCGCTGACACGGACCTGGCCGTGGATATGGCGCCGCTGCGCGAGTGGCAGAGCTCGCGGCGCCGGGACGGGTTCGCCGTGTGTGTGAAGGGGTTACAGCTGGGCGACGAGTGGGCGGGCCGGCTGGTCGAGTGGATCGAGCTCCTGCGGCTGATCGGTGCCGACGCGTTCGTGTTCTACCGGTACGACACGGGACCGGAGGTGTCCAAAGTACTGGAGCACTACGAGACCCAGGGCGTGGCCACGGTGGTCAACGCCACCCTGCCGGGGTTCCAGCCCAACTACCCGCCGGCGCGGCGGCGCTACCTGCGAGCCGCCGTCTGGCAGAAGCGCCGCTTCGAGCTGGTGCACTACAACGACTGCCTGTACCGCAGTCTGTACCGGTACCGGTTCGTGGTACCGCTGGACGTGGACGAGGTGCTCGTACCGCGCCAGTACCGCACCTGGGCCGAGCTGATCGAGCACCTGGAGGTGAACCCGCACCTGCTGCAGCGGTTCGCCTCGCTCTCCGTCCGGCACGTCTACTTCTTCGACAACCTGACGCAGACGCCGGACCCCGGTCTGCCGGAACACTTCCACGCGCTGCGGCACACGGAGCGAAGCGCCAACATCAGCGGACGCGGCTTCAGCAGCAAGGCGTTCGTCAGCACCCGAGGCGCGCTTACCGTGTTCAACCACTACGCGCTGGCGCCGCTGTACCCCTACACCGCGCACGAGGGACGCATAGTGCCGGCGCAGGCGCTGCTCCACCACTACCGTTCAGAGTGTCCGCGGGACCTGAGTGCCGAGTGCCGTAACAACTACTACAGGTACACAGAGACTGACCACAGCCTGGAGAGGTACCGAGGACAGCTGGTCGCTGCGGTCACACAGACACTGACACAGCTGGGATTGGGAGGGGAGGGTGCGGCCGGAGGAGAGGCGCACAGCGAGGGTGAGACGCCGACTGACGAGGATGGTGAAAGCGACGGAGACCACAGAGCGCACACCAGTGATGTGGGAAGTGATATACAATGATACGAGGGGGATTAAGATTACATTTGGCAATGTCAAGGCAAGGGATGGACAGGATTCAGCAAATCACGATCGTCATTTCTAGCAGGATAGGCACGCAATGGCAGACCGACATCAGGGAGATATCAAGAATCAGAATCACCCTTATACGCTTCCCGTCCCATATAAGACAATTATGATACCATTTATAACTGTGGTTGCGATAAGGGAGAATGTTATGGCGGTTGTCTTTGTATGTTACCGCAAATGAGCGTTCTTCGCGTGCCTTCGTGGTATAACTGGCCTCTGCAATTTTCGACTGCTGTTATTGGATGGTCTCGTCGCTACTTTTCGCAGGGATTTTACCGGTGGATAGTCTGGCTGTGACTCGTGTATTTATGTCCATCGTTAATAGAAATACACTTACACTCGTGGTACACCAGTATATCACAACTCGCTGGTGTTTTGTTGTATTTGGAGTTTGGACAGTAGCAGCCCATGGCTCATATTCGTAATGGAGAGGTACCACCCGGGTATCACATCATTTCGATTCACACGAGCTGACACCACCACAAGTTATCGCATCACAGTTCAGGTTCTCACCGAACACAGTCACTGGAACAATTGACAAAATACGATAAGACGTAAGTCTTTCAAGGCTAGTCAGCTTAAAGTGCACAACCGTTTTCAGTTCCCGCTCACAAAACCATGATAGAAAACATCAGCAAACCATTATACCACCTTTACTTGCAGCACTGACAGATGAAACATAGTAGCGCCAGTGCGGGTCAGAGCAGCCAGTCCAGCCAAGTGACACTCCCCCGCCCTACCTGGCTCTGCGCTGAGCGGCTGGAGGAGCGATGCCAAGACCGATGTACCCCGTGACCCCGCCTCAGTAGAGCGACGCGTCGGGAGCCGGGCCGAACAGGTGTGACCAGGTGGGCGGCGTTCGCCAGCGACCCAGCACAGAGTACGGGTCGGGCCGGGACTTCTGGCTCTCCTGGACACGACGGGGGAAGAATATGTCAGATGTGAGTAGAGAACGTGCTAACAAGGGCATAGCAGTAGCAGCACCCGGCTGAAACTGGACAACGGCATGACAGAGTTTGCCAATGTGTTCAAATGAATCATATAGGCACGTAACGACTTGAATAAATTAAGAGCCACTGCAGGCTGAAGTAAGCATTGTTTTTTAGAAGAGTCGCAAATGAAAAAAGGCAGGTAGCAAGCAGTCGCTTTCACGATTAATCAAGCAAGCCCCCATTTTGAAACAAAATCAATGAACCGTAGTTTTTGCAGCAGGAGCATTTATAAACCACGACCAAACGAGCAGACTGTACTCACATCCAACAGGCCGAGCCAGGAGTCCAGGCAGTTGCAGGTATCCACCGCCTCGGGAATGTTGTTCCCTTCGTAGGTGTGTCGCAGTAGACACGTGTACGGGAATTTGGCCGCCTCACTACAAAACAGAGCAAAAAGAAAATGGTGTTACCACGATAGAGTCGTAAGGCTTCACTGTCAAATTCAAGATCAACTCTAATTTTATTTCGTTTTCAATTTGATTCGAACAGCGTTTATGTGATATACATGCGTCGTCATTGAGAAGTTCGAGAGCTGATAGTTCAGTGTAGATTGTCGTATTATGAAATATGAACGATAAATGGCAGTGCACAAACTGTTTGGAATTAGCAGCGTAGCAGTCAAGCCAAGTGACTGAAGTGGGATCTCCGGAAGGTAAGTGTTCCACAGCGTGCGACAGAGGTCGCACTGATCGCACAATGTGAACAACATGCAGGTTTTGGTGGATGGAATGGGTGGAAAGACACTACAGGAGCCCACATTACACACCACTCTCGACGGATGCTATATTCCCCAATCCCAAGCTGCCGTAGAGGTCCCATATCTCCTTTCTCTGAACGCAGTAGGAGTCCCCGTTCCCTCATCCACCAGGCACGATAGAGATCCGATATTCCCACTCTCTAAGCGTAGTGGAGCCGGTAGATGTCCCCGTTCCCCCACCCACCAAGCGCGGTAGAGGTCCGACATCTTCCCACCCTCCAGGCGCGGTAGAGGTCCGACATCTTCCCACCCTCCAGGCGCAGTAGAAGTCCCCGTTCCCCCTGCACTCACCAGGCGCGGTAGAGGTCCGATGTCCCCCACTCACCAGGCGCGGTGGAGGTCCCCGTTCCCCCACTCCCCAGGCGCGGTAGAGGTCCGGTATTCCCCACTCACCAGGCTAGGTAGAGGTCCGGTATTCCCCACTCACCAGGCGCGGTAGAGGGCAGAGGTCCCCGTTCCCCCACTCACCAGGCGCGGTAGAGGTCCGATGTTCCCCACTCACGAGCGATAGAGGTCTAAGATACTCTACTCACCAGGCGCGGTAGAGGTCCCCGTTCCCCCACTCCCCAGGCGCGGTAGAGGTCCCCGTTCCCCCACTCACCAGGCTCGGTAGAGGAGGTCCGATGTCCCCCACTTACCATGCTCGGTAGAGGTCCGGGACGAAGCCGGCTCCGGGCAGGTACGGCGGCGGCCGGTGCGCGTCGCCCTCAGGCCGCGGTATCTCCGGCTGCGGCGGCGCCAGTGCCGTCAGTGCGTCGACATCGTCTCCGGCGACGGTGACGTGGCAGAGTCGCGGCGCGGCCGGGTCGGGCCGGGCGGCCGCGTGACAGCTGGCCAGTTGGAGGACCCGCTTCAGACCACGCTCGGCCGCCCACTGCACCAGCTCGGCCAGCAGTGAGAGACGGCCCCTCTGCAGACATCACGGGGGCGGGGAGTTATATGTGGGCAAGACGAATTGGCAGGTAGTCAAGAGATAAGGAGAACTGCTGAAGGCAAACATAACAATACGGTGTCACGCTTTCTTCAAAGTCACGTAGCTATGACGAGATAAAATCCAAAGTAGTACAGCTTCTCTAATGAGCCATTCATTAGTTTCAAGTCCAATATGCGTCCATTAGTTTGTCCAATAAAAAGAAAAGAAAAATACGTATTACTCGTTACAAAACACCATTACTTACTGGTGATATGGGTGCACGGATCTGAATGACCAGCAGTTTCTTCTTTTCACAGACGTAAGCTGAAAGCGAATATGATCGGTAAATATTGGTTTGGTTTCAAATGGTTGAAAATGTGTGACGACACTGGCGCTACTGCTTCGCTCGCTGTGTCAGACGGACAGATTGCACAATACATTTCACAGTTCAGAATATCTGCAATCAACCTTTGCCGGTCCCGTAGCTCAGTTGGGTAGAGCGTTGGACTCCGCGTGGTGAGAGCACGCGTTCCCGGTTATGACAGTCCGGGTTCGAAGCGCGACGGGCGCTCGACATTTATGGGCCTCCTGACAGGTATGGTTGCGGTTGGTGGCAGGCCGTAGTCAGGCGAAGTCAGTGAGGGGACCGGCCGTGCGCGGCTTTGTGCGCACGTTAAACTTTGGACTCTAAATTCTGCCATAGAATCGGAATTGCGCGATCGGAGGGTAGAGGGCAGGGTCATCGCAACAAGCTTCGCTTAGCGGTGGCTCTGTCCTTGTGAATCCTTCCCATCAAAAGGTTCGGACTAAATTTATATAAAAAAAACCTGTAAGAATCTAAACATCCGCTGTATCATGAATAGTAACTTGCTGGTGCTTAGAGGATCAACTAAACCAGTCAGTCAGCAGCCCTCAGCTATCCCACCAGCGACCTACCAACCACTAAGCCATCTGCCTGTGTCTGGCCAACACCCACGTCCCACACACCCATACACACCTTCCATGGCAGTCATGAGATGCGTCTGTCCGTCGGTGTCCGAGTCGGGCAGGGTGCCCACCACCGGCTGCAGACTGGGGTGTCCGAAGGCGCCCAGCCGCTGGCAGCGCAGGTTGTGTAGCAGCAGGTCGACGGCCAGCTGGCCCACGTTACCCACGCTCACAGACGGCTGCCGGGAGGTTTGGGGCGCTGTCAGGACGGGGAGCGAGTGCATGTCGTAACATAGTGATAACATGATCATATGGACTGTCACATAATAACAGCGTCTCATGCCAACAACTATTTGTCATTTTTGCCACATGTACAGTACCCATTGGCAAATTAACATGCTTTTGTAACAAGATGTCCATATTAATACCTATATTTTGGCATATTAGATGTGTCCAAACGAGCAAAAATGGTACATAACAAAGTTTTATCAGAGATGACACTGTTATGAGTGATCAACGATAAATAAGTTATCTACACTTAGCGACATCCAATCAGTGAGTACCTAATCTCATAACAATACATTGATGTCAGTTGTCACTTACCGAAATAAGAGTGTAGCCAGATAGATCTTTGGATACATCTTCAACATATGTGAGAGATTTCATTTTCTTGTCTTGACACTGTCAAAAAAAAAGACATTCATTCGGGCACTACACGTTATGAAAATTCACATCCAATGCCGTGAGATCACGGCATGATCACGTGAGATCACGGCATGATCATCAATCAAATTGGGTCTTACGTTCAAATGTCATATCCAGTGACAAGCAGGAACATTGTCCTAATATTGCAAAATACACACCAAGGCATCGTCATACCTAATGGGTTCCAACTCCAAGGAAAAAATATGCTGACATGACTCATGGCTAGGATTTGACCACTTTTCAGCAACACGATAAAAGTTTGAAGAACAGACAAAAAATGCGTTTTTTCCATAGTTATGAAAATAAGCATGAGCTTTTGGGTAAGTACGATAGCTGACAGCTTTTACATAAACACCTAGAATTACAATAATAACTCAATTATAATATATTGTGAAAGAAAAAGCTTCTGATACAAACAGTATCTTGATCACTGTCCATGAGATGAAGAATATGTGAAAAATTCCAAATAGCTCTGGAGCATCTTTTGGAGCCTGTTTGAAAATGTGGCAGCCAGTTTGAAAGTGGTTGGATTGGAGCAGCCAGAAACCTGCCCAGAAATCAGGATAGTAGTAAAGCAGGCATCACACTTGTTTTCCGCAACCAAGGAGAGGTGTTATTGGTTAGGTTGTAGCTTGTAGATTTTAGGTGGTAGGTTTTAGGTTGTAGGTTGAACCCTGAAGGTAAGGTTAGGTCAGGTTTGGTTAGGTTTGGTTTGGTTTAATTAGAAAGCATCTCTGGACTCTGGGTAGGTATATCGCCTCTCCTTGGTTGTAAAAAGCAAGTATAATGATTGCTTTAGACTAGGTGCTGTAGTAAAGCAGGAGTCGCACTTGCTTTTTTGCAATCAAGGATAGATGCTGAAGGTTTGGTTGTAGATTGTATATTTCAGGTGGTAGGTTTTAGGTTTTAGGTTTTAGGTTTTAGGCTGCAGGTTGTAGGTAAGGTTAGGTCAGGTTTGGTTAGGTTTGGTTTGGTTTGATTAGAAAGCATCTCTGGGTATCAGTATAGCACCAAAAAAAAAAAACAAGTGTGAAGCCTGCTTTAACACTACCAAACCTAGAATAAAAGGGAAATAAAAGGAAAACAAAATGCAGGGACGACAGCGCCTCTCCTTGGTTGTAAAAAACAAGTGTGAGATGCCTGCTTTACTACTACCCTTTAGTACTACTACCAAATTAACTGTAGGTAGGTATTCAAAAAAGGTAGGTACACCACTCTTACTACAGTTGACAAGTGAGAAAACCTAGAATTGTGCTATTTATCAGTGGTTGGTGGCCGGTGGGCACTTTGAAATGATAACTCTCATCAATAGCGATTATCAAAGTCGTTGTCAACAATAACAAGTTTTTCAAGTTTATCATTATTGATTATCCGTTATCAAAGTCCCCGTTTCAGTCAATCGGTAACAATAACTTCATCAAATGCCACAGGAGCGTATTTAAGGAATAGTTCACCTTAACATGGGGCTTTGAGCTGAGATAGCAGTTTTGTAGATTGAACACTGAAAAATGTTAGTTGGAACGTCTTTTAGCCCAACAAGCTCTGTCGCCATAGATATTCACATTTTTTGATGAATGTTTTCCTTATTGAAGGAATATTTAAGGATTAAAATATTATTTAGAAGCTCATTACTTTCAAATATTTTATCCTTTCGATTTCTTTCATTTTTGAAGATATCATTATCATTATCGTGTTATCAAAGTGAACGATTGGGTTATAAAGTTATCGTTATCAAAGTCACTGACTTCGAAAAAGTTGTCGAATTATCGATATCAAAGTCGCAGTGAAGTTACGAGTGTCCACCACTAAGTATCAGTAGCGGCGGAACACCTTCAATTAAGGGGGCACTGCCGACTTTTGGTCCCATTCTTTCCATGCAACGCCCATAGGGCTTATGTTAAAATGCCAAAATCAAAGGGGGCACGGTGCCCCGGTGCCCTCCCCGTTCCGCCGCCTATGCTAAGCAATACTGTGAGCCAGGCAACAGTCTTGGAAACAAGAACACAAGGGCTGCAAAAAGGGATACTATAATTCAAATTAGGTAGGTATACCTATATCAAAATAAACGGTGTAGAACTTCGGCCGCCGACCCGCATTGGCATAAGTTATCAAGTTATCGACAAAATAACTTTTGCTCTGTTCTCTAACAAAAGTATGTGCAGGCTCGTATGATATTGCTAGGCAACTTGCGGCGATTTTATGCAAACTTCGCCAATGTTCTGCCACTAGCATTCCTATTGAACACCTTTCTTGAATAAACATTGCTACCATATCGACTTTTCATGTCTGTGCTGCGTTACATTTGTAAACAAGATCTTCATTTTCTTTCTACATAGGAAGATGGGTAAAGTAATTTTTAACTCTGGAACCAAATTGACTGTGACTCGGGGACCACAGGGCACAGAACTGCAACACCGCAGAAAAGTTCATTCGACAGCTCTTTTAAAGGTCTTTCTGGAGAAAGCTCTCAGATTTGACCTAGGTGGGGCTAACAGTTAAGCTTCCAGAGAGCAAAAACTCTTCAAATTCCAGAGGGGTGTTCACGGGCACCGCACACTGCTGCGTGCGGTGTGTGCGGTGCGTCCAGCAGGCGTGGGGGTAGGGGATGGGTAGGCGGCTCTGACGTCACGGCTGCGTGCGGTGGACGGTCCGCTGTGGCCAGTCCCGACCGGCCACAGCGATCGCTGTGTGCGGTGACGGAAGGCTGACGTAGGGACGCAGTGGGCGGAGCTTGGAGGCTGTGTGCGGTCCGACCGCACACAGGGCCCGTGAACAGCCCTCAGTTTTTACGACAAATCCTCTTCTGCAATAACTTTTGGCTCAATAAAATCGATACGGCTTTGAGTAGCGGCGGCATCGTGTTCCTCTAGTTGAGACTCGTCGAATGAACAGTTTGGCATTTGACATTGTACCTATTATCTAAGGAAAAGTCATGATGTCGTTTGTCAGTCGACTGTAGGTACACCTACCCAAGGCTATATAAACCAGGTAGAACGCTCCGGGAAAAAAGTTGGAAACAATAAATTAGTTGCAGCATTCCCTGATGACGCGAATGTGGGTCAGCGGCCGGCGGCCGGCGGCCGCTAACACTATATGAGGATGAGTGCACGGAACTTTTGCTTGTTGGAGATTGCGCTAGGCAGTTAAATGTTAATGTTAGGATATGTTTCGAAAGTAAATTGAACGACGCTTCGAACGCCGTCAATGAATTTGCGATGCGACGCGTATTTGTTTAGTTAGAGCCGGCGAACTTTTACCTTCCGACCGCGCGGGGAGGCGATATGGTGCCACACTGACGGTTTTTAAGATAGCTCAAAATTCTTTTAAGCTCAAGAGCTGAAATTTGACACGTCCAATCTTTTGATCAAGCTGGATCTTCTGGTACAGGTCGCATATTTAAGGTACGTCAGGTTGTTGACCTATGTTGTCGCTCGTGAGCCTCTGCACAGTCCAAAAACAATGCAATTTCTGAACACTCAGTGCCAAGAAATCCTTCACACAGTCACAAAGATGACGCTTGGCAGAAAGAAGAGCTGTCGGTTTCTTATCGTTCGTATGTGTCGTGTTTTCACAAGAGTTTAGTAAGGTCAGGTCCGTCACGTGACCTCCCCTCATAACTCAATTGGTTTACTTTCATAGAAGCGTTTATCAATCGCCGGAAATCTTAGCCAATCCCACTGGACACTGGATCCATACCCACATGGGGCCCTCCTGACTGGCCACTCCCTCTGAAATTCACAATAACATTGGGCTGCGGCCACGGTTATGTATTAATGCTTTTCATTGACAGAAATACAACAACTTCAACCACCACAGTGCACGCCGCCACAACAGTCCGACCCTTGGTCCGACCCACGTCCCTGATATCGACTAGCACCCGGCCGGATGCACATACGCGGAGCCAATCAGTCCGAATGTGACCTGAAGCTTACAATTGCTGTGTCGCATGGCACAGGGCGATTCCTAGCAGCTGTCGGCTGGAGTGGAGACACAGCACGTTGCGACACACCGCGCCGGCGACAGAGCTCAGCAGGGCTGGTTTGAGGCTAAAGCCGGAGGTAAGGGCGGACACAGGCACATACATTGCAGGACAAATAACAAGATGTCAGTTAGGGATATAATTCAAGACGAATGATTCAAGACGGACTGAAATAATGCACATTCTGCTCACTTAGATACCAACTTCAAACTTGACATTTATAGCACCACGGAAACAATTGGCACACAGGAAAGAAACAAAAGATGAGGCGTTTTTAACTCAAGGAGGTAAAAAGAGGTTGCATATGATGGAACAGCCCGAAGTGCAGACAAGCACATATTTTTGGTAATAGCTATCAGCTGTCCTACTTCTCTTCACCCTTCACCAACTACTGGACACATTTGAAGCATCATATTAGCACCAATGTCCATAACAAAAGCTTGCAAGTAGTTTTATGAGGCCAAGGGAAATATGCCTACATCATGCATGTAAGCTCAAAATGCATTACAAAGGAAGGTTATCTAAAGAGAATAGTGGGCAAAAACATTTCATAGTTAAATTATTCAAAACTGCACACAGGGCAAACATAAAAAGCAGCAAGTGTAGTGTTCTGTTATGCTTAAAAATAGTCCAAAACAAAATACAATCCTTTCTTGTTTGAATTGGTTGTTCTTCTATGCCACTTCATCCATATCTTGATTACAGATGGGCAGTTACTGTAGGCTGATGAAGTGACACTTGATTGCCTTTGTGCGAGTTTCAGTTGCAGCCTCCTAGGTACTGCACTGGAAAGCAAATTGAATTGAATGCCTCTGAAAGATAGGAATATAGGCAAAGTTAGCTGTAGTAGTGTCAATGATAATAGACATGACATTTTTGTCTTTTGACATACATTTGTTGAAGTACAAAAAGGTACAAAATAAATTGGTTTGTTTCAAGACACGCACACTGCACAAAGCCGCACAGACATTACACAAGCATATGAAATTGGTACACATAAAACTTGATGATTAAAAAGGTCAAAACTAGCAACAATAATTAATTGAAGTAAAAGTTACAATCACAATCATTTGATTTAAAATGACTTGACAAAGTCACAAGACGCAACGCTCCTATTCAGTTAAGAAAAGTTTTTATGCTTTCATTATCCTTCACATATCAACCAGCTTGATACCAGGCTGTGCAATAGTGGGTACATAACCCCATGTTTCCATTTTATTAGAGCAAGTAGGGTTACAACAACAATGCTAATGTCAAACCCACATCTGCAACCCATACTGAAGTTTCAATCACCTTACAAGAACACCTTCTGGCAGTTTGATGGGCAGAATGGTCATAACTACTTTCTCCTCATACTCAACACAAAGTATATCTTGTACAGATACAGTTTAGACTTGGTTATGGCAAGCATTTTCGAGAAAAGATATGATAAAAGTCCAAGACAAAGGTCGAGAGAAACAACACCAACATAAAACACCGACTATGTAGCACTAATACTATCAAATTCATAAAAATATATACATGAGTCGATCAGAAATTCACTGTAGATTTCGAAAATGGTGTCAAATGCCACTCAAATACCCATATTCGCATGTACGAAGCAATATAACACTGACCTTCAGTTCCACGTGCCATTCTCCATAGGCCACTGTGTATTAAATAACGCGTTCACTGATCGCAAAAAAATGAGACCCACATATGACGCGTTTGCTACCAGCCAATCAGCGCTCGAGATGCCGAGCGCTGATTGGTGGAGAGGGCCGTCGTCAGCAGTCCATTACATGTTGTTTTCCTTGAACATATACGTGAGCAGCTGATGCTGCTCACGGGTTGTTTCCATTTTTCGTAATGCTGAAGGCACGGGAGCGAACCCCCCTGCACCTACCCCACAGATCGACTTATCGTTAGCTATACCTACGATACATCATTGAGCTGAATGCATCTAAGGTGTTTTGGCATCGCTCTAGAATGTGTCAAAAGCCATTGTAAAAAAAAAACTTTTAGGCACCTAGGTACCTAAATACCTTTCATGACCTGAGATGACCTCAGGCGCACAGAGAGGGGTCACAGGTGCAATTTTCCGATTCGGTAGGTATGCCATCTTTACATGGGGTAATCCGATCCGAGTGAGTTTGGTGTGACGTTCATCCAAAAGAGCCGCATTTCAATTTTCTCCATTGATTTCGGAGAAGTCGCGAAATTGACCTGACCGGCACTGATATAGAAATTCCTTAACCCGCGCCCTGGTGGGGTCTGTTGATAACGCGACCTGGTGGGGGGGGGGGGGGCTATTTTTTGCCCCCCTCGTATCTCTGAAACTACCGGACGGATCCGCAAAACTCAAACGGCGTTCGAAAGGCCTGTCAAATTTGTCGAGAGAAACCAAATTTCATTGACCTCGGGGTCACCGATGACGTCACAGGTCAGGTCAAAGATGAAATGTTTCACCGTTCACGGGTCTTCTAGGGAATGCGCTATATCACCAAGGAAAACGCATTTTGTCGAGAATCAGCGATAGGGCGTCAGTTGCCTAGTAGATGTGTTGCTATTAGAGGTCACTGACAATACCAGGTCAGGTCACAGGTCAGGTCACCAAGGGTCACAGGTCAGGTCACATGAACCCAACTTTACTAAGGTTGTGTGATGCATGTTTTATGGCCAATTTTTCATTTCCAACTCAATGGTGTTGGTTATAAGACTATCAGGTACGGCTTAGGTCACTTTCTGGTGATGGTCAGGTCAAGGTCAGGTCAAGGTCAGGCCAAAAAAGGTCAAGTTTTAAAGTTGATAATTTTGCACAAAATGGGTATTGATTCGATGCAGCTCGTCACGGGGAGTCTAATGGTGGGTCTTTGTTTTGCGCTACGGGGTCTAGAATTGCTAAAAATTGAGTTTGAAAATTTGACGTCATCAATTTTGAACAGTTTTTTCGCTATAACTTCGCCAAAAAAGAGGTATCAATCTCAAATTTGGTATGTGGATGGAAGGCGGTAAGGACTATCACATATATTCCGTTTTTGCGAAATTCAAAAAAAACTTTTTGGATTTTTCGACTATTATATCCAAAAAATCTATTTTTTGATTTTTGGGGATCAAAATCCAAAAATTTTAAAAATCCGAGATAGCAGTTTTGTAGCCCTGTCAATTCTACAGCTGGGGCATTCCACGATAGATCGTACCACTTTTTTCCAATTTGACACCCTCATCTCTCGGATTTTAACAATAATTGGTCTTATTACTTAGGGGTAATCAGGG